GCCAGGCCCGATTCTATGTCAGGACACTCGTTGTTTTAATACGATTAAAGTTCATACGTAGGCCGCGTCATAGCTCAAGCGGTTAGTCGCTGGCTTCCCACCGCGGCGGCCCGGGTTCGATCCCGGGTCTGGTCAAGTGGGATTTGTGGTGGACAAAGTGGCGCTGGGGCAGGTTTTCTCCGAGTATTTCGGTTTCCCCTGCCAATCTTCATTCCACAAATTGCTCCACAATCACCCTCACCTATCATCTGGGTCTAGTACAATAGGTCAGAAGTGGCCGCAGTCCCACCCCACTAGCAATAATAATAAAGAAAAAGGTTCATACGTCTTGAGTTTAATGCCACACGAATCATCTTCATGTGGTAAGTAACGAAAATAAGGAAGAGAACCAAACTGAATACTCCCTCTAATACATCTAATGCAGAGAATCTGAACTGATCATGAACTATTTTTTTCCCCTTGGCACTACAGCCCCAGTGGACCTAGGCCTACCTCCATGAACTTCTCCGTTCATTTCGGTTTTTCTAGATCTTACACATTCGGTAGGACTCCTTGGGCGGGTGATCAGCTTGTCGCAAGGCCTCTGCCTGTACACAAACACAGAAAAACGCACACACACAAACTAAACATCCATGCCCTGAGTGGGATTCGAACCCACGATCTTGGTTTCCAAACGAGCGAAGACAGTACATGCCTCATGAACTATTTACCTTACTGGAAATATACTAAGATAATGTAGGCTCAGGGGCTTAGTGAATCTGCATGACCTATAGAAGAAGCTAATACCGAAAAGTATCAATTTCCGAAGACTGAAAAATATTTTATAACATTTCTTTAACTCTAATGCAGAAGCTAGGTCAGGAAGTTGAGCTTTTATGGAAGTACATAACATAACCCGAATATTATCTTGCTTTTTTAAAATATTAATTAATATAAATTAAAAAATAATCAGTTTTATTTCTTAGAATTTTACTTTGCGAAACTTGTTAATTTTGCTCACTTTATTTTTTATTTGTATTTATTTTTCTGTTAGCCCAGTATTGCATGCGTTGATTTGACAGCGTGCTTATTCACCTTCCCATGTAATCCAAAACCTTCAAGAGTTCTAACTGGAATGATTCCACGTGTTCAAACAAACCGCCTTGACCTGGAAAGAATTCCGGTCTGCTAAAAGGGTACCTCGCCATTCCTAGGACACCTAACCTACTTGGAGTTATCCTGCTTTCCTGTCACAGGGTAAACAGGGACTGATCTAAAAGAAACATTTCTATTTTGAAATAAATTGAGGGTTCCGTTTAAACAAGCCGAGCTTTGTAGTTACGTAGAAGAGTCCAGTTCTGAACGCGCATTAGTATTTAACGTATTTAATGTCTGATTCAGGAACATAGTTTCTTACTTAAGATACAGTTTTGTACATGTAAAGGGCGTAACGCCGGAGATCAGATCGTGCAACAGCGAGTGGCCCCTCCCAGACCAAGCCCCCCAGTGCCCTCCTCGAGCCCTTGCTGCTGTTGATTCTATTGCTGATGGCGTTCTTCTACCATTGCCTCTGTACTGTTCTCTGGCTTGATATAAAATTTATGCTGATCTGTATAACTTCTACTTTCCCAGTTCTCTTCTAACTTCATATCTTATTTATGTGTTTTGGACGTGCTTATGTCTAGGCGATGAGCCAGGATAGTGTAATCGTTATATTGACTGGCTATGGGGTCGGAGTTCGAATACCGGTAGGGTCAAGATTTTTCTTTTCTCCAAGTCTTCCATACCGGCTCTGGGGTCCACCCGACCTCCTATCCAGTGGGGACCCGAGGCTCTTTCCCCGGGCTTAAAGTGGCCGAGGCGTGAAGCTGACTATTCACCTCCAAATAGTGCCGAGGTCAAGAAAATATGGATCTATAGTCTATACTATATATCCACTCGCCCACACACCTTCATGGCACAGTGCTTAATTAATTAAGCACAGGGAAAGCCTTACCTTACCTTATGTTTAGACGCGTTCGCGTCCTTTATAAGCATGAAACGACTCGAGAATTGCCGAAAGATCTTGTTAAATTTATTATTGTGGAGCTTTACTAAAATTTGCCGACACAATCAATTTTCGGTTTATGTGGAACAAAACTAACGGTAGATTTACATAAAGACCTTCATGCGTTTGTGTGAGCATATCGAGCGTAAAGCCTTTTAGAAGCTAAATATTTTCCTAACAAATCATGTAGATAGGATTTGAGGTTCTCACAGCGGTAGTTACGAAGTTTTAGATCTTCATGGATATAACGCCTTGCAGTGAAGCGATTTGTATCAGGTAGTAAGCAGAGATCCACTTTCTACCCTCTTCACGCTGGTCTCTTGGTTGGCTTATTCATCGACCCTGAAGATGTTCCTTGGAAATGTTGAGTGACTTTCAAGGCACTACACGACGTTATATCCGAGAAGGTAGAACTCTCTAAACTTTATATAGTCAAAATTAAGCTCGTATTTTATTTATTTTTGGTTTCATTTACCGTCCGAATGCAAATGTTATGATTTTAAATTTGTCACTTGGACTACATGTTTCGATCTGTAACCACACTGAACACTGGATATACAACAAGCATGCCAAAAAGAGACAATAGATGTGGCATAGAAGCAGGAACTACGTACATTGACTGTATTTAGAAACAGTAAAAATACGAAAAACAGCGAACGGAGTAACGCAGAAGGCACAACAGTTTCCCCCCCCCAATTTCAACGTGCCTTATGATTCCCGAGTAGGCCGAAACATATAGTGTAGTGACGAATTTTAAAAGGAGTTAATTTTAAATTTTAACTGTTGCGTGGTGGATGACAAACAGAACCAAGAAATGTATTCTAATACCAACTACAGCAGGATGATTTGACAATACCGTCCAGTGTGACTCAAATGTGTATTCATATGAATGTCTTTACATGTTTCAGTCAGATATGGCCATCTTCAGAAGCCATAACAACATGCTGAAGACTGAAACATGTAAAGGCATTTATATAAATATACATTTGAGCCACATTGGAAGGTGTTGTCAAAACATTTCATGCTAATTAACTAGTGTGACGGGCCGGAATGAATACAGTTAAACAACATTATGAACTCATGTTTTAAATTATCTACATTTTTTCCACAACTGTTATCATTTTCAGAGTAATTAAGCATAAGGGACTTTGTGCATATATTTCCTATTGTCGTTATGCATCAGTGAACGTAGGATTTCCGAAGATTACCAAAATTTCATTATTATTGGTAAAAGTTGCTGGAAGCTTCCTTCTGCCTGAATGTGTATTCCCATGTGAATGTGAACATAAAGTACAGCAGATCGTGCTACTAAGGTTCTCTCTTTCATGGCACGTGACTGTACTTTAAAATATTTATTTTCGTAAAAAAGAACAACACCACGAAAAGAAGGAAGACCAGAAACTAATTTTATGAGTTTATATTGTGTTCTTATTAAGTTTATAGTGTATAGTATTCCAGACTTATTTAAATATCTATACTCACATATAACTTGTTATGTCCCTAATGATTTCGATCAGTCGTTTAGTTTAAGGTTTGAATTGAAATAAGAATGGAAATAGAAGATGTCAGTCGGAGATTCGATTCAGGAACCTCACAGAAGTGTATGAGAGAGCTGGAAGTAATTAGATTATCGTTGAATATTGATGGGAATTTGAAGGGAATTATTTCCATTTTACTGCACATAAATTAAACAGTTGGACAATATTATGTCCAATTCGTATAGAAATATAACTTCCTTTAAACCCCTGATGTGCACTTCACTATTAACATTTATTCTTCGAGTACAATTTCAAACGGACTGTGCTGTACATGTTAAGCTTAAAGTATTGTTGCGTTTTGTTTATATTGAAATTTTGTTCGTTATTTTATGTAAGTGCAAACTTGATACTCACTCACTTTGGGGGTCAAATAAAGGAAAACCGCATTTTAGAACGAAGTTCTGAGAAGTGTATTTGAACAACAGAAGATTAAGTTTCAGAGTTTTGTAAATTGCTACTTAGGACAAGACGGACGGGAAAATTAATATGTATATAGATATAAAATATTGTGTAATTCAGTGGAAGTCGTAAACAAGAGAAATTACGAGTGGATGGACGAAACATGACGATCTCAACACTCATGGGTACGTACAAACATTTTGGAGGAACATATGCTCCCACCTTCATGGTTCCTATGCTCAAGATTGTGGTAGAATATTCCTCCGGAACGTTCGTATCCTTCTGCCAGACTACACGGTGTTCAAATCCATAATATCATGTTCTATTCTGTNTCATTGCCTCACACACTCCACTCGTTACTATAGTGACCACTGCTTCTAACAGTTTAGCAGCCATATATACATATTAATGAGGCTTTTTGTGGCTGTGAACATTCACTATGATAATATAGAACATGGTAAAACGTCTATGTATAACACAGTCCGTCAATAATGCAACAAACTGTTCGTTTTTCCTCTACTTACACTTTTAATACAACATGTTTCGGCCCTAGATGGTCATCTTCAGGTATCTTAATATATTAAAACTGCTACACTGCATTAATATGCGCTAATATGACACGCTGCAGTTCACTTAATATAATGAAAACAAATAAAATCCATAGAATATTTTAATGGATTTCATTTTATTTCATTTTATTATATTAAGTGGACTGCAGCGTGTCATATTAGCGCATATTAATGCAGTGTAGCAATTTTAATATATTAAGACGCCTGAAGATGACCATCTAGGGCCGAAACATGTTATGTTAAAAGTGTAAGTAGAGGAAAAACGAACAGTTTGTTGCATTATTGACGGACTGTGTTATACATAGACGTTTTACCATGTTCTATATTATCATAGTGAATGTTCACAGCCACAAAAAGCCTCATTAATATGTATATATGGCTGCTAAACTGTTAGAAGCAGTGGTCACTATAGTAACGAGTGGAGTGTGTGAGGCAATGAACACTACTACTGGCAGTGTTTCTCCACAGGACGCCCGTTCCCGCTGATAAACTGCTCAGTAGTGAACCAGACTTCGGACTCTCTGCACGTGGAATGTCTGGAGAGTTTCGACGGCGGTCTACCACAGAGCTTCCTCATGGAGCTACTAGAACTTCCAGGTCTAAGGCCGCGGTACAACGTCACCGTGGCCCGCGGACCACCTATGTTCGATATTTACGGCATGGAACCCGGAGCAAGTTACCAGGTCAACCTCTACGCTGTGAACGCCAAGGGTCGGAGTGAGCCTTACATAATTGAAGCTGTTACCTTCAAAGGCGTCGCAAAATTCACAGGTTCGTGAATTATTATTATTATTATTATTATTATTATTATTATTGTTATCA